ACCTTCAAACTTGCGGTGTCCTACTGCCTGAAGTGGGCTTGGGAGCATCACATGAAGCTCAAGAATCTAGCTGTGTGCCCATTTACTTTTGCGCATGGGCCGATCGTTTGATCGCACATCTTTTAGTCACAGAGTCTCTGGGGCACCGCCTGCGTCTGACATTTAGGAGGCTCTCGGGACGAGCGCTTCACTGTAGGGGTCAATGTGCAGTGAGGCTACCTGCTAGTGCAAGCAGTGCATGCGTACGCGTGAACTATCCAACATAACAAACGATAATATCAACACACATGTTCGCACTACGATCATGCGCACGTGTACGTGTGGTAGGGTGGGTACTCTACGTTACTACGTCGGGACCCGCACTGCTGTTCTCCTCAGGTTGGTAGTGTCCCCGAGCTTAGGTTTTTGTTTCTCGTAATTGAGCGTTTGATGTTGAGTGGCAGCACCTGCCGCAACTGATATCATGCAAGATGGCTGCTAGCGAGTCGCGGTTATGTACACCGCGTGCCGTGAGACACGTTCGATTGGTGATAATCGTTCTGCCCGTGCTGGTGGAAAATGTCGAGGAGTTACGTTGATAACACTTGAGCCAAGGGGGTCATACCGCTGTGATGTTAGAACGCTGCAAGGCGTGCGAGGCCAGCCAAGACTCCTGATCCTCCACCTCCTCATTCCTCTCCTCCCCACGCCGCTGCCGTCCTATCTACGAGGCTTCGCCCAATCCGCCACCTCGCTACGTCTTCTGAGGAGCTAGGGTCATATGTATGTTGGGTCTCGCCTATTCCGCTGCCTACCCAGACGAACGAAGATCAACAACGTCAATTTGAACACTTCAAGGGGAGCGCAAAATCACCCAACAAACAACCGAACTATCAAGTCTGAACAACAATACGGAGAGGGAGAAATACAGACACTAACGAAATACAAAGAGACTGTCGCACGCACGAGTGTACGCAAGCAGAACGGCGCACGCAGACACCAACCTGTGCCCGTACATGCACGCACCCGCATGACCAAACACGTGAAATCATTACGGAGTGAAACGGCCTGCGGCCTGCAGTGTAACATAACCTGGGAAACTAACCCCACAAACCAAGAACGGTCTGAGCGTGCGTTGGGGATCACAAGCACGGACGGACCATCGCGACGACGATCATGCCAACGACGATGGTGGTGGTCGTAGCGATGATGATGCGATGGTGGCGGCGGCGTTCCAATCAGATTTGTTGAATTCATGGTAGCACGGAAGGCGATCGCGATGGTGGCGGTGTTCACGGGACGCATCGCCATAAGAGGGATGACTTTCGCTGGACACATTGAGCCTCTAGGGCGCTTCTAGGAGCCACGGAGATGTTGCGAGTGTTTGAGGCGGGTCAGGGCCGTGCGCAACTCTGAATCGTGCAGTGCAGCGCCTCTGCACCGACTTGGGCGCGTGACACCCACTTCGGCGCCCGAAATTCCGACTCGGGGCACGCCAAGTTTAGTAGGCTCGCGCGTCGTCAAGAGTCCGTTGCGTTGTTGACCTTGGAGATGGCGTCACCTGGATGTCCGAACCAGTCGTGGTTCGGCACCCACGTGGCGCGTGCTCGGGGATCAACAGTGCAATCGTCACGAGACGATTGTGAACCTACCACGCTGTGTACGCCACGTCGATGGTGGGGTGTCGAACGCTTTCCTGAGGGGTCCAAGGCGTTGTATTAGTGATATATTAGGCTGCCCATGGTTGAGCGCAAACCCCATCTACCCCGACCCCATATCAGTTCCCCTTAATGTAGGACGGAGGAGAAGGGAGGATGAGGAGGTCCTCTTCTTCCTCCTCCTCCTCCTCCTCCTCCTCCTCCTCCTCCTCCTCCTCCTCCTCCTCCTCCTCCTCCTCCTCCCTCTCCTACATCTGGTAGTGGCGGTGGAAAATTGGGCAACGCCAGCTCAGAATCGGCCCCCAAACCCCTCCCAGGATTCAATTCTCTGGCCTGCGTCCAGCCGTATAGCGACGAGGGGCACCTCGAAGTCCTGGTGACGATGACGATGCCGATGGCGATGACAATGACGATGGCGATGACCATGGCATCATCGTCATCATCTACCGCTGTCTCAAGTTGCCCTTCTCTGAACTTCTGCGCCCCCCCGAGGGAGGCGGGGGCCGCTCGCGCGCGCAGCGCGGCAGCAGCCCCTAGCGCATGAGCTGCGGGCTGACGGCCGGGGCGTCGCGCGGGCTCGCAGCGAGCGCGCCTCGGGCCGGGCGGCGGCGGTCGCGGTCCACCAGGAGCTGCGGGCGGAGGCCTCCTCCTCCTCCTCCTCCTCCTCCTCCTCCTCCTCCTCCTCCTCCTCCTCCTCCTCCTCCTCCGGCCAGTGCTGCTCGGAAGGCGGCAGCGGCCGAAGGCCTCCCGTCGTGGCCGCCGCACGGCGCGAGGAGGTTGGGGGGGGGGGGCGGAGCTCTGGCACGCCCGCAGCGGGCCCTCCTCCTCCTCCTCCTCCTCCTCCTCCTCCTCCTCCTCCTCCTCCTCCTCCTCCTCCTCCTCCTTCCCCCCCCCCTCCTCCTCCGTGGCCGGGAACAGAATAGGCACGAGGCCCAGCAGCAACAGGTGCCCGGAGGCGGCAGCGGCCGCCGTCGGCCGGGCGGGCGGGCGCCGCGGAGGCGCGGCGCCCGCGGCGGCACGGGCGGCGTAATTATGCACGGCTCCGAAGAGGGGCAGGAGCTCGAGGCGGGTCTTCGTCCCCACGTCTTTTCGAATCCATTCGGCTACTCCAGATGTCGTAGTAAGGGGAGGGGGGTCTCCTTTCGGGGGGGGGGGTCTCTTCCGGGCTGTCTTGGAGGGCCTGGGGGGTCTGGGGACGATGTTTTGGGGGGTTCTCCCACGGGGGAGGTCTGAAATGGCTTGTCTCGGAGGGTCCAGACCCCCTCCCTTTTATTACGAAATCTGGAGTACACGCAAGAGCGGCGACCCTGGGCAAGAGCGACCTCTGGTGCGCCACTTCCCAGGGGCCGCGGGGAGGCCACACCGGGAGCGCCGCGCAGGCCGCTGCCATCGCGCCGAGCTCAGCCATCCGGGGACCCCACCGAGCCCGCACCCAATGTCATTCCATCGAAGGGTCACTCTTACGTGTAGTCAAACCATGTCGGTCGTACCGACAGACCCAGACAGCCGGCTGCTCCAATTTTTGTTGACGCGTGGGCCCCAGAGGTCCGGACCACTTCCCCAGGACCGGTTTTTCGTCCTGCATCGTTCTGTGAGGCTCCCGAGGCCCAGCGAGGGCCCCCGGAGGCCGAAAACTGCCAGAAGCCCGCCGCTCCCATCGTTTTGGGAGCGTCGGATCTCAGCGGGACGAGCGCCCGCCCCACCAGCCCGAGGATGACTACCTACCAGACCACCCCAAAATCAACCCGAAGACCCGAATTTGACCCGAATTTCGGGTTGGGGGGGGGGGGTACGGGTTCCATGTGTTTGTTCAGTGTTCCCCGACTCCCCCCAACTGGAAATGGAGGGCAAATCGAAGCCTTCGGGTTGGGTTGGGGAGGTTTGGTGAGTGGTGAGAGGAGGCGAGGCCACCCGACCTCGCGCCCTCGCGCCGCGGGGCCGCCCAGCGCGCCCAGCGCGCCCGGCGCGCCGCCCCGGCGGAGGCGGAGGGCGCGCGCGGCCCCCCTCCGGCCCGGGGCCGCGCTCCCCGCCGCCCTGCTCCCGCCATCTCCAGGAAAGGGGCCCAAGGACACACAAGTAAACACACACGGATCCTAAGATTCCCCATGCCAGACCCCCGACGTCATGATTTTTACATGACGCGAACCCCAGAGGTCCAGACCCGTTCCCCGGGACCGGCTTCTCATCCCGAGTCGTTTTTTGACGGTCCCGAGGCCCTGTGAGGGCCCTCAGAGGCCGAAAATGGCGAAAAACCTCCCGTCGTGATTGTTTCATGACTCGAGGAGGTCTGGGCATGGTGTCTGTGTGCTTCTTCCCCTCCTGATGCTCGGACTCAAAGGAGGGGAGTAGGAGTTCCGCCTGCAGCTGCGCTCCTGCGTCTGCCCCGTCTTTCTGCCCGCCCGGTGCAAGCAGATTCGTGCACACAGCCCGAGCGCAACGCAGGCTGCTCGAGACCTCGTGACATCAGGATTTCTGCCCTGAACGTGCGGCTGGGTGCACTTACACATCTTATGAGCAACTTGAAGTCGACGAGCTTCCGGCCTTTTCGGCGTCTTCAGGAATCGAACCCCGAGAAGGCTATGGGGTACTCATGTTGTTGTGAAGCCAGGCTGTTGGTATTACTTGCGTTCCTCTTGGACTGTGTACTGCGTCGCTTCGTACTGCTTATCCCATGTCCTGTTTCCCACCTCCCCTCGTCCTTAAGAGAAAAGCACGCCGCCGCATCTCCGACGATTCTGCTGCCGAGTCCTGGCGGCCGTCCTCGATTCCGGCCCCCGGGCGCCGTGGTCGAGCCCCGGGGCCATCAGGCATGGATGGGGCCGCAGGCGGCCCTCAATTGGCAGTGCCGGGCCTCCCGGGGCGCGGGGCAGCGCTGCTTATAAGGGGGACCAGAGCTCACGGCGGAACCGTCGAGCTCGCCGTCGCTCGGACGTCCATTCCCCGTGCCTTTTTTCGGCTTCGTGCGTTTTTTTTTTTGTTTTTTGTTTGCTCGATGGTCCAGGATGGTCCTCGATGGTTCTCGCCGAGAAAAAAATTGCACACGTCCGAGCGATGCCAAGTCGAGCTTGCCTCGGCGACAGCTCGCCGACGGATCCTCGAGGGGCCCCTGATTGCAAGAGCCGAGTGCTCGTGGGCGGGGGCGGGCGCCATCGGGCCCCTGCCGGCGTGCACGGGACGGCTGACTCGATTTCGTCCCCTGCCCCCCCCCCCCCGACGTGGCCCCTCGACAGGAGATCTTTCGGCCCCACTGACCACCTCCGCGTCCGCAAGCCGGGCGAGCCGTGCGCCCGCGCGGCTGCGGCAGAAGCGCGGCAAGGGCGCGCGCGCGGGCGCTCTATGCGGTGCGCGGCGGGGCGGCGCGGCCGGGCAGTTCCAGAAGTAGAGGTTGCTGCCCGGCTCGGGGGCCGCCGAGAGCAGGTGCGTCCTGCGCCGCGGCTCCGCCCGCCCTCGCCCCCCCCCCCTCAGCACCAACTCCCGCCCGCCCTCGCCTCCTCCTCTTCTCCTCCTCCTCCTCCTCCTCATCTTCCTCCTCCTCCTCCTCCTCCTCCTCCTCCTCCTCCCTCCTCCTCCTCCTCCTCCTCCTCCTCCTCCTCCTCCTCCTCCTCCTCCTCACTCCTTCCTCCTCCTCCCCTCCTCCTCCTCCTCCTCCTCCTCCTGCTCCTCCCACCTCCGCCTCCTCCTCCTCCCGCCCTCGGCCTCCTCCTCCTCCCGCCCTCCTGCTCCTCCTCCTCCTCCTCCTCCTCTCCTCCTCCTGCTCCTCCTCCTCCTCTCTCCTCCTCCCTCCTCCTCCTCCTCCTCCTCCTATTCGCATCCCGGCCCCGTCCGTCTCCCCCGCTCCCCCCCCCACCCATGCGCTCCTCGCCACCCCCCCCCTCCCCCCGCACCCCCCATCCCCCCGTTCGCTCCTCGATCCCCTCCCCAGTCTCCCCCTCCCTCCCCTGAGACCTATACGACCACCCTTCGGGTGAGAAGGAGGTTGTGGGTGGGGAGGAGAGAGGGGGAACCAACATCCGACTCAATCGATCACACGATCGATCTCACTCAACGGGACACCACGGGACACTTGTCGATCTCACGATCGATACCACTATCGATCTCACTCAACGGGACACCACGGGACACCACGGGCCACCACGGGACAGCACGGGACACCGCGGGACACCTCTCGATCTCACTATCGGTCTCACGATCGATCTGACCTTCGATCTCACTCAGCGGGACACCATAGGACACCACGGGACACCGCCGGACACCACATCAATCTCACTATCGATCTCACGATCGATCTCACTACCGATCTCACTCAACGGGACACCACGGGACACCGCGGGACACCTGTCGATCTCAGTATCGATCTCATTATCGATCTCACTCAGCGGGACACCACACCACATCGATCTCAGTATCGATCCCACTATCGATCTCACTCAACGGGACACCACGGGACACCACGGGACACCTGTCGATCTCACTATCGATCTCACCATCCATCCCACTCGACGGGACACCACGCGAAACCACGGGACACTTGTCGATCTCACTATCGATCTCACTCAACGGGACACCACGGGACACCACGGGACACCGCCGGACACCTCTCGATCTCACTATCGGTCTCACGATCGATCTGACCTTCGATGTCACTCAGCGGGACACCATAGGACACCCCGGGACACTTCGGGACACCACACCGATCTCAATATCGATCTCACTATCGATCTCACTATCGATCTCACTCAACGGGACACCACGGGACACCTCGGGACACCTCTCGATCTCACTATCGATCTTACCCAGCGGGACACCACGGGACACCTCGGAGCACCACATCGATCTCAGTATCGATCTTACTATCGATCTCACTCAACGGGACACCACGGGACACCTCTCGATCTCACTATCGGTCTCACGATCGATATCACTCAACGGGACACCACGGGACACCACGGAACACCTCGGGGCACCACATCGATCTCAGTATCGATCTAACTAGCGATCTCAGTATCGATCTCATTCAACTGGACACCACCGGGCACCACCGGACACCACGGGAAACAGCGGGACACCGGCGGGACACCGCGCGGCACCGGCCGCCGGAGGAGAAACATTTTGTCCGGCCGCGGCCCAGCTAGCCACAGGAGGATTTCGGGACACCAGCGAGACGCCGGCGGGACACCGCGCGGCACCGGCCGCCGGAGGAGCAACATTTGGTCCGGCCGCGGCCCAGCCACAGGAGGATTTCATCTCGCCCGCCCACGCAGCTTCGCCTCGCCCGCACGCGCGCACGGCACCCACGACACGAACCCGAAACCGAAATCGATTTCCCGGTAGGGGGCGTCTCCGTTTCACGTCGGATTCACCCCCCAACCTCCGATATATATATATATATATATATATATATATATAACCGAATACCTTCGAGAATAAACACTAGGGGATAATAAAGTTCGGGGTTCAGGGGGAGATAATCAAAGTAGCCCACCAGACCTCAGCATAATCTCGAAGTAAGAGATGATCAAGAGGAGACCAAGCCGAGCACGTTTTGAGACATCCTTGGCGTTTAGTCTTCATAGAAATATCCTCAACAATGGCTTATCTCGCTGGAGACATCCTCGACAAATCCCTTGTTTCGCTTGAGACATCCACAAACTATTGCTTATTTCGCTTGAGACACCGTCAAACTATTGCTCATTTCGCTTAAGAAACGTATCGTTTCGCTTGAGACATCCTTCAGTATATGCTTGTTTCGCTTGAGACATCCTCGAGTATATGCTTGTTTCGCTTGAGACATCCTCGGAATAGCTCATCCGCCTCGGTGTCCCTGGATCATCAACCGCGGCGATAATAAAGTTCAGGCGGGCGGAGGAATGGAGAAAGCGATATACGAAAACAAAAATAAAAAGAAACAGTAAGACATGAAAAAGAAAAAGGAAAAAATCAAAAAAGAAAAGAAAACAGAGGAGGAGGAGAAAGAGAAGGACAAATCTCAAGTTCAAATGTATTAGATTTTATTTACAAACGCCTTATGACAATTAAATTTTTTAAGTGCTCGTGTAGGGTAGCTCATGTGCTTCATTTTCCATGGATAATCAACCCCAGGGATAAAAAAGTTCAGAGGGGGGGGCATGGAGAGAGAGAGAGAGAGACAGAGAGAGAGAGAGAAAGAGAGATACAACATAAAGAAAAAGAAAGGAAGGACTTAAAGAGAGAAGATATATTGAAAAAGAAAAGTATAATAATAAATGAAAAGGATAAAGAGAAGAGGAAAGGAGGATAAAACAAAAATATGAAGATTCAAATGTATTATTTTTTTATGTGCAAGCGCTTTATGAAAATTAAAAATTTTAAGTGCTCGTGTAGGGTAGCTCACGTGCCTCGTTTTCCCTGGATAATCAACCCCAGCGATAAACAAGTTCAGGGCGCCAGGGGGAGGAGGAGGAGAAAGAGATAGAGAGACAGAGAGAGAGAGACAGAGAGGCCAGGAAGGAGAAAGAGATAGAGAGACAGAGAGAGAGAGAAAGAGAGACAGAGAAAGAAAGAAAGAGAGACAGAAAGAACTACAAAGAGACAGAAGGACGTTGGTTTCGCTTGAGACATCCTGAAACAACGTGTTCGCTTCGCTTGATGTTCTTATCTCAACATAAGAAGGAAGTAACTTCGATGGCGAACTTTTCCCGTGATAATGAAGTTCGGCCTCCGCGCCCCCGCGCCCCCGACCAAACTCTTATTAGTCGACGATAAAAAAACTCTAACGACTTAAGGGGGGGTACTTTATTCTCATCGGCATGCGGTTATATATATATATATATATATACTAGAACCACGCGCGCGCTTCGCGCGCGCTTAGGTTCTGTCGAGTCACAGACCCAGGAATCCTCCTCCTCCTCCTCCTCCTCCTCCTCCTCCTCCTCCTCCTGTCTTCCTCCTCATCCTCGTCCTTTCCCGAGCGATACAATAACAACTTGCGTGGAACCCCTCTCGGGCCCATCTTGGGGCTCTCTTGGGCCGCCTTTGGAGCCTCTTGGGGCGTCCTGGGTCTCTCGTGGGGGCTTCTTGGAGCTCTCTTGGCGCCTCCTGGAGCCTCTTGGGGCCGAAAGCTCGGAATTCTACAGTGGCTTTCTCCCTCTGGGACCCCTCTCGGGCACGCCTTGGGGCTCTCTTAGGCCATTTTGGAGTCCAATTTTGCCGTCCTGGGCGCCTCGTGAACCGTCTTGGAACTCTCTTGGGGGCCACCTAGGCCGTCTTGGGAGCCTCTTCGGACGTGTTGGACGCGGTGAAAACCCAACAGGCGACCATGCGAAAAGTATACGTTTTCCCATCGGAATGGGACCATTTTTGCTTCTTGGACCTCTCTTGGGGTGCCTCTCGGAACGTCTTGGGCTGATTTTGGAAGCCTTTTGGCGCCTCTGGGCGGCGTTTTGGCGCCTCCTGGGATGTGTTGGGCCGGAAGCTCGGAATTCGAGAGTGGCTTTCTCCTTCTGGGACCCCTCTCGAAGTCGTCTTGGGGTTCTCTTGGGCCGTCTTGGGGCCGTCCTGAGCCACTCGTGCGCAGCCTTGGAGCGCTCCCGGAGGCCTCCTAGGCCGTCTTGGAGGCCACCTGGGCCGTCTTGGACGCGGTGAAAGCCCAAGATGCGAACGTGCGAAAAATATACGCTTTCCCATAGGAATGGCACGATTCTTGTTTCTTGGACCTCTCTTGGGGTGCCTCTCGGAACGTCTTGGGGTGCTTTGGGGGGCCTTTTGGCGCCTCTTGGCGGCATTTTGGCGCCTCCTGGAGCCTCTTGGGCCGGAAGCTCGGAATTCGAGGTTGGCTTTCTCCGTCTGGGACCCCTCTCGAACTCGTCTTGGGGCTCTCTTGGGCCGTCTTGGGGCCGTCCTGGGCCACTCGTGCGCAGCCTTGGAGCGCTCCCGGAGGCCTCGTAGACCGTCTTGGGCGCCTCTTGGGCCGTCTTGGACGCGGTGAAAGCCCAAGAGGCGAACATGCGAAAAATATACGTTTTCCCATAGGAATGGCACGATTTTTGCTTCTTGGGCCTCTCTTGGGCTGCCTCTCGGAGCGTCTTGGAGGCTTCTGGGACCTTCTTGGTGTCATGACAGGCGTCTTGGAAGGCATCTGGAGCCATCGGAGCGCGTTCCGAAGCCGCCTGCGAACGATCTTGGACGGCGTCCGGCGGTCCGACGAGCCTCCGGGCCCCCCGGGGCCCACATTTGTGGTCGGGGTCCCGGCCCCGGGCCCCCGGACCCGGTGCGCCGTTATATGTATATATATATATATATATATATAATATATATATATATATATATATATATATAATTCCACGGAGAACGCCTTCCTGCCAGGGAGGAGAGCGAGGACCGGAAGAATCGTGGAGGGAGGAGGCCACAGAGCCGCGAAGCTCACCGAATCTGGAGCCCCCCGGATCG